CTACAGAATAGCATTAACTGTGGTAATGACTCCCAGACCATGTGACATTACAGAGAGGTCAGAGACTATGAACAAGCAGCAGATGGTATATCAATGACAGAGGCCCTGTCCTAAATCGCACCCTAAACCCTCACGGTCTTCCTACGTACCCTCATATATATATAATTGTCAAAGTGGCATGAATAAAAAATTAAATAAAAGTACTCTGGTAAGTTGGCACTGATATTTCTACTTTCTTCTTTAACAAGTTCTTCTATCCTAAACATCTGTCAGTATCCCAAAAATCTTAACTGTAAAATTGCTTAAGACAGCTCAGTACAATTGTAAGGGTCAACTGGATAAACAGTGTAAGGGAAACAGGTCAATAATTTAGCTCAAAGGGAATCATCAATGACAGAGGCCCTGTCCTAAATCGCACCCTAAACCCTCACGGTCTTCCTAAATTTTGTGACATAATGCTGCTTTGACTGTCGGGCAGAGTTCTGCTGTGGAGCTCACCACAGTGAGGGCTCTGCAGGTGTGTGAATCGAGGGCGCATAGTGGCTGCAAAGGGGGCACTCGCAAGCATGCTTCTGAAAGCTAAAATGACGAATGGGACATCCTATGGTCTCGTCCACAAGTGCACATGAAGTGTGTCATTTGATACAGGGCCAGAGACTACAATGACATACAAACTACAAGAGAATGACAATGATTTCTTCAACATGTCTGATGGTAATAAATGGTATTCACTGAAGTACATTGGAAAACCATATACAGGTGCATCTCAACAAATTAGAATGTCATGGAAAAGTTCATTTATTTCAGTAATTCAACTCAAATTGTGAAACTCGTGCACACAGACTGAAGTAGTTTAAGTCTTTGGTTCTTTTATTTGTGATGATTTTGGCTCACATTGAACAAAAATCCACCAATTCACTATCTCAACAAATTAGAATACTTCAAAAGACCAATAAAAAAAACATTTTTAGTGAATTGTTGGCCTTCTGGAAAGTATGTTCAGTATATGTAGTATTGTATTTCATATTTTTATTTTCCTTCAAGCTGAGCCGGTGCCAAGAATGGAATCAGGATGCCAAAAACACAGTGAGATTGGATATTTCATAATTTATACTTGATTTAATCAAGTATAAATTGTGAAATATCCAATCTCACTGTGATTTAATCAAGTATAAATTGTGAAATATCCAATCTCACTGTGTTTTTGGCATCCTGATTCCATTCTTGGCACCGGCTCAGCTGAGCTTGGACAACACACAGCTCATCCTCCAGTTTTTTCCTAGCTTCCTGTGCCTCTTTGCTATTTTGCACCGCCATGGACGAACCGAACTACGCTCCGCAGTGACTCTGTCCACCTACAGGGCGGCGCCAGGCATAAAAAAACATAATGCAATAGAAGCTTCTTTCCAAGGGCACACACAGGCACACTCATTCAATCTGACCCTTGCTGGAGGTGACCTCCTTGCAATCAGCCCCGTGGAGTACTTATTTCCAAGCTATAATCAGACTCACTCACTAAGGCCTGACCTTTTCTCAGCAGCCCCTCAGCCATGGCTATGTATAAGTCCAATATAAAACCCAGCCCCCTAGAGAGAGACATCTGCTAGAGCTCAGATCCACGGCCATACAAGTTAATGAGGGAAAGAGAGTGCGAACGTATTCACACAACACGGCTGTACAAACAAGCTAAAAAGATCTCGGACTATATGAAAGGTATAAGACATGTTGCACCCAATATCAAAGTATTTCATGTGGCACAGGGTTATACTTCTAATTTTATGTTATGCTCATGGTAACAAACTAAATTGAACAAACAACTTGGTACCAAGTTCCTTTAAGCAAGGTGGCCTTCAAATTCACTTGGTGACCATCTTAGTAACAGTGCAGCACCAAATTTCATGAATTTTGACAGACCAAAAACTCTGAAATTGTTGGCTAAGCTTACATGTCAACACCGTTTTTCAAGCATCCAATAAAATATGACAATATGAATCAATTTACAGATAAAATTTGCCATCAACAGTGGTACCTCAGTGGCCTGGTGTCGTTTGATTTCCAGTAGAGCTTCATTCTCCACCTGCAGCTTCACCAGATTCCCTTTCACCTCCAAGAGCTCCAAGAGAGCAGACACACTTTACATAGCTCTCCTTTAGTATACAAAGTATTTTTATCACAGCTAAAGCAATAAATAGTTTTGACAGATCATGTGAACGCATATGAGATAAAAACATTGCTGAGTTATTCCACATAGAGTGGGTCTCCAGATTGAGTCACATGATTAGAGTACTTCATGTAGTATTCAGACTATGGCTTCATTTACACCTGGTATTAACATCCTGTTCAGGTGATCTCATTTTGAAATGGGACAATGCTAAATAAAATATTAATAATTTATTATTAATAATAATATTGTTTTGAGATTTGTTTACTTCAACAACATTCTGAAGTGGACAAAAATACACATGACCATACTGCAATTCATGTATTTAATAACGTAATTTGTGTATTTAATAACTGAATCCGAGACAAGAAAAATGAATGAAACTATTTTTGCTATATTAGGCATGTGATTAAGAAAGAATGTGTACATAATTAAAAATGCAATTTTTTGTAAATAATTCAAATGGATTACAATAAATTCTGGTCATTTTCTTTATTCCCTGAAATTCCTTTAAATCCTTTTTAGATCCATTCAATAAAACGATCCCTTCAAAAAATTTGGTTTGATCCCCCCCAATATTCAAGGCATGGTCACGGCCTTATTATAAACACTAACGCATTACCAGATGAAACTAACTCATGTCATTACCAGATGATAAAACTTAATCTCGATCTCAACCACAAAAAAAAACCTTACTTGAAATAAAGTAAACAATACCTATAGTTGCCATGGAAAAAAATCTTGAAATGACTTAACTTGAACTTAAAATGACTGAAATAAATATCATTATAAAATAGTATTAGTATAAAATAGACGTTTAAAAAATGAAAATAAAAATGACAAAATGCACACCAGAATTACTAAAACTTAAACTAAAATTTAAATAAAAATGGAAAATAACATAACATAAAAACGAATTTAAAATAATAATTTTAAATACTCTCAATATTACTAAAATAAAATTAATAAGAGCTATATAGATATTAAAACAACAAATTTGCTCAAATTTCAACTATAATTAAAATAAAAAAGAAGGTAAAAATAAAATAAAAATCACTTGTGATCGGATCAACAGATATGGAATTTACAACCCAGATAGTTCCCCTGTAATGGAACCTATCATCTGCAAAATAAATGAATCGGCTATGTCTGTTAATATATTTATTTAAAACAGCATTGATAACCAAAAACTCACATCCACACCAATAGGTGTCAGTATAAAGTGCAACAGCACTATTGTGTCAATCAGCAAATCATGACTAAAAAACACTTACTGCACATTTAACAATTAAATATGGCTGCATCCGAAAACCTAGGGAGCTGACTTGCTGCCTTATCAGGCAACGACTTTGCAGGCAGTGTTTGCACACCTCACAAAACTGATTTTTTACATGCTTCTGAGGCAGCGTAATGTTTTAATGATCTACAATAAAATAGAACGAGCTTTGGTGATATGTAAGTGAATATTTAATGGCAGTGGCTATTTGCACTAAGTGTAAATAGCGATAGAATCAATACATGTTATTTACACAAAGTGAAAATAGCGTATTTTCTTAGCGATAGATGCTATTTACACTAAGTGCAAATAGCTATAGATTACCATCGGCACCACTGAAGCTGACGACAGTTGACTGTCTTTTGTAATGTTGACTAGCCGAATCACACGTTGGTGGGCGGAGTTAGTGTAAATGGCCTCTGCCAACAAGTCGGGCTATTTGCACTTAGTCTAAATAGACACGCCAATATTTAATTACTACTTATTTCTCACTAGAAATAGCATCAAAAGTGCAAAAAGTTGGTCAGAAACATACATTTACACACAAACTGACCACCAAATGCAACGTTGGAATGCCATCTTTATATTTTTAGCTCAACCATCACGGAATGGAATGCACAGGATTGTGGGATATCAAAGACAGCGAAGGATACATCTATTCCGCCTTCAAAAATCGACCAGATGAAGGTATCTCAGGAGACAGGAAGTAATGCTAACATTGGATTCGAATGTGCCTTGATGCCTTCCTTGAAATGTGTCCTCTGAAGTCAGCATTTTCCAGTTTTCGGACGCAGCCTATATCTTCTAAATAGAAACAATGACAAATATTTTTGCACTACCTCTATACTCGCTCGTGTCTTGAGAAAAATTAATGCTATTCAGTTGCTTTGACATAATCTGTATTGTTAAAAGCGCTATACAAATAAAGGTGACTTGACAGGCACTGCCAGCTGCTCAACACATGCACTTCACTGTCTGTGACAAATCTGGAATATAACAAGTTTAGCAGAGCCATCTAAACAAATAAGGAGGTTATTTAGTACCTAAAAACAACATTTCACACTCCCAATGAACTGTATATTATTTCACTATATCGTGTGAGCCAAAACATCCATCCACATATCAAAGTAACAGCTCGTGCTCACAAGCCACTGAGATTACAGTAAGCGCCATATCGTAATGTAGAAAAACAACTCAAGCTTCAAACTACAAAAAGCATCTTGGATTTAGATAATTTCATGTTTTTTTCCCCTCTCAAATCATCCCCGACTAACATTTCCTCTTGGTAAACTTGGTGTGTAACAGCACAAGCCTATTCTTTATAATTACAGCCATTATTCTTCTTATATTAGAAAAAGAGAAAAATACATAAATTACTGCACATGTAGTGGTCTGAGATCAAAGTATGTCACAAAGAAGAGCCCAGAACAAAAGCACTTAGATTGAGAAAGTGAGAAAGAGAGAGAGAGAGAGAGAGAGAGAGAGAGTTTGTGGGCCCAAGCAGCCTGGGCCTGTACGTGAAGATTTTACCTGAGCCTGTAGCTCCTGATCTTGCTTCCTGGCATCTTGCAGCTGCCTGAGAAGCTGCTGGTTGCGGTCGTGTCCCCTCTGGAGCTCCTGCTGGCTTTCTTGCAGCTCTCTCTGCAGATCCCACAGTCTCTGCTCTTGGACGTCCAGCTATCCAACCACAATAGAGGGCAGGGCGCAGAGGAAGAGAAAATCAATCCACTACAAAGAGCCTCTTTCTCCGTTCGCCTGCTCATTTCGCAGAACCCGCCATGACCAGAGCTCCAGCAAAGAAGAACCGGCGTTCAGCTGGCCTTCATCGCAGCACCATCATCCATTCCGAGCGGTTTTAGGACCCTTCACATATACCCTGACACTCTAGACAGGCTGGGGCAGCCCTGCACTGAATGCAGACACCAAAATCAATGCTTCTTAACCAAATGCGAAATCACAGCTCATTGTTCGACAGGAAGAGCAGGAGAACAGGCAATACTTCTGCAGCCAAATCTTTACTGATGGATTTTCGGTGACATACACAAGCAGTTTGCACCACTATTGCACCATGTCAATCCTCTTTTTGAAATGAAAAAGTATTCATTAAAGCAAGGCCCAACACGAAACAATAAAAATAAATCATTAATATTGTAATCAGCACAATATGGTCACCTGCTAAAGAGAACAGAGAGGAAGATGGGAGTCGAGAAAAGGACAGAGGAGGAGGAGGTTTGGCAGACCCCTGGTTCCGGTCCAGTCCGCCATTATCAAGCATCCTCTTCTGCATTTCAAATCGTCACACGATGACAGTCGCATATCCAAAATGGAGGCCCGGGGACTCTCCGCCGATGATCAATTAATTAACCTCGCTCATTAGAGGCCCGAGAGTAATCCACAGATTCGCCTAAGTCACCTAAATCAAACAGTCGCCCCTCGCCTTACCCATTGATTGTGGTCTGGTGACAAGCACTTCAAGCCTTGCCTCGTCTTACCATCCGTCTATTGGCATAGCGAACACTCAAATTCCTGCCAGATTGTGGACTAAAACGATGAAGGAAGAATGAGAATTGTTTCCCTTTAATCCTAAAAACCCAGCTCATCCTTTTGCTCTGCTTTTCGGTGTGTGATGCAAGCCGATAACCCTGCTCTTTCTTTGCCTTACAATTGCGCTCTCTCTCCATTCTCCCCTCCTAAACTGATCAATACTTCATTTAAATCATGACATTAGCACACTACAACTGGAAAAAAAGCTGAAAGGAATAACAAAACGCTTCTTATGGCAAACGGAGGGTTGGAAAATGGAACACACATCCGGTTAGTGACCATAATTGTTTGTTTATAAGTAAAAACTGAGGTTAAAATGCATGTGGTGCTCAGGAACGACATCATTGTTTTGATTTGAGCTCCCGAGACTGACTGATCAAAATCGCATTTGAATCCAGAGAGAGGAGCAGTGTCGCTATAGCACTCGACTCATTAAATTAAATGCAAATAGCGCTGCCATAATCAACAGGACTTTATTGTCCCGCTGAAACAAACCCAAATTATATTTCCATACACAAAGAACATGTAGCCATACGCATTGGCGGTTGCGTGATCTGCGCCCTCATGCATTTGTTTATTCATGCAGGATGCCATGAGAATAATCAGAGTGCTATGCAAACACACTTAAGACTTGAAGGGATGGTAATCATCGACGCAGGGGGGTGTGGGAGGAGAGAAGAAGAAGAAAGAAAAAAAAAGGTAATTTCCTGTCGCGGATCTGCATAACAGGCGCGCGAGAGAGCAAGAGCGAGTCTTATCTGCCTAATGGTCATTAGCGGAGCTTATTTACCTGAACGCTCTGGGCGTCACGGGCCTGATGAGAGAGGAGCAGGTCTTGCCGGAGTCTTTGGATGCTCGCGTCCCGACGTGACAACTGCGGTTCGGGTTTCCCATCCCAAACGTGGCGAAGAGGAAGGAACGGAGGGCGTGAGGTGTTTTTGAGAGTAAAGAGAGGGAGGTGGAGAGAGAGAGGGAAGGGAAGAGTGAATCACTCCAGGAACATGCACTTACATATAGCCGGGTGCCAATGTCAACCAATGAGCAATTAGGCAGACAAGACCAAAGTTATTGATTGAGGTTTGGGGGTTCTTTTTCCCAGGCTAACTAAGCTGAGTATGTGTGATGGCTGCAGAAACAGTAGGGAAAGAGAGAAGGAGGGGGAGAGTTCGGGAGAGTGACTCCCTCTTGCTCTCACTGGGCCTGTAGTGCCAAGAGGGGCCGGTCATTTAACCTTCTATTGATCTTCCTCCTAAATAACCCCCCTCCCTTGACAGATGTGCGTGTTCAATGTATGCACTTAATGTAGACTGCTCAACTGTCAATGCATTACACAGTCTGCAAGACCGCTATGGATAGGCTACCATGCCCTGTGTGCCAATCACGTATTACCAACCAGATTGCAGACGTTAGCATTGCTTCATGGACTTGTTTACATTTGGTTTGAGGGTAGACACCATATTTCCTTTAAGATGAATGGTTGTGAGGGATACATTATAGTCTTTTCAATAGGCTGTAGAGTCTTTAAGGGACAGTTCATCCAGAAATGGAAGTTCTGAAAATCATTTACTCACCTACATGCCATTCCAAATGTCTATGATGTTCTTTCATTTGAACACAAAATAAAATATTTTGAAGATTGGTTGAAAGTAATTGGGATCCCTATTGACTTTGATTGTATGGACAAAAAACAATGAGATCTAATCTAATATTCATGTCAGTATTTTGTCCACTGGAAATGAATTGGGAAGGCAGATTTAAAATGCTTCATTGGCTAAATGATAAACACGAAGAACAACAGTATAAGCTATTGAACAGACTGTACATCTATCCCTCACAGACATGTTCCTATCCATGTAAGATCAGGCAAGCCATCTGCCCTCTAGGGTTGTGTGCCTTTCAGAATTGAATTGAGAATGCCCATTAAATTCCAATTGAATACATTAACACCCATCTCAGGTGATTGGGCCAGACATCAGAAGAGACAGATCGACTCGTATTAAAACAAATCTCAAAAGGTGGCCACTTGTGATCAGTTTTTGGGGAGGACTTTAGAGGTCTGTCATACTCACATCTATACTGTTGGTTAACGATTGGATAGCATAATTAGTGCACTCCCAATACAAGGACTAAAGAGAGACTATAAAGAGCAATGAGTATCAAAAACTCTAACCGTACCTCAGTCTTCAAAAGCTCTGATCCTCTGAGGGCAGTGAGATCAGTGGAAGCCTAAAGGGGAAGACATGCATCTGATGAGACTTTGAGCCCAATTTACAGTGTGTACTTAATATACATTCCACAGCAATGCAGGGAAGATGAACCACAGAGTAAGTGAAACCTGTGAGACAGATGCCAGTAAGATGGTAGAATAAGCAACCAGACATATAGAAGAAAAAGACACCTGTAGGAAAGATAAATTACTAAGTGTCTCTGTTTTAGCTTAATTGTTCCTCCTAGACAGTAAATAAATGGAGAGTAAATTGAGACAATCATTAAACAATATAGGTCATAAGAAGATAATTTTGGTTTGTAAAATGTCATGTGGAGCAACTCTCTAAAAACTTAATAATATTTGATAATGAACAATTCTTGACATTTATAACATAATATATTTTTTACCTTGAAAATATGTTTAAAAACGTAAAATTAAAACTAATGTACACTCACATTCAAGATGTGAGAAATATGTCTGTACAATTGTTCCTCCTAGACAGTAAATAAATGGAGAGTAAATTGAGACAATCATTAAACAATATAGGTCATAAGAAGATAATTTTGGTTTGTAAAATGTCATGTGGAGCAACTCTCTAAAAACTTTTTTGTCAACAATTCTTGACATTTATAACATAATACATTTTTTACCTTGAAAATATGTTTAAAAACGTAAAATTAAAACTAATGTACACTCACATTCAAGATGTGAGAAATATGTCTGTACTTTTTACTTGATGGTTACACCACATGACAGGTTTTTCTTTGAAAATGACAGAAATTTGTTTCAAAACTATTTCAAACCACTATGAATTTAAAGAGTAGATTTCTACAACTTGTCACATGTGTTTTAAACTAGTTTTCATACATTTAATTTCTTTCTTCTGGAGACTCTTACACTCTCAGAAAAAAAGGTACAAAAGTTGTCACTGGGGTGGTACCTTTTCAAAAGGCACATCTTTGTACCTAAAGAGTCCATGTTGGTACCTTAAAGGTTCATATTAGTATCCAAAGTGTACATCTTAGTACCTAAAAGGTACAAAAGTGTACCTTTTGAAAAGGTACTGCCCCAGTGACAGCTTTTGTACAGTATAGGTCATGGACCCATAGGCAAACAATATATATCGCCAATGTTAACTCATCTTCTCATCAAATCTATTCACGAACAAATGATCTGAGCAGCTAAACACAATTTTACTTTACAGCTCTATTTTCATACTGTATAACAACACAATTTGCTTCTTTTTTATTTCATTAAATACATTTTAGGCGAAACATTAGAGACAGAGTTGATTATAAGACTAGAAAGAGATGATATAAACACGGCTACTGATACAGTGAGACGAAAGCGAAAGAACTCAATAAGACAGGGGAAAACATCTCTCTTCCCAGAGTGTGTAATTGAAGAACATGTCTTTCATGAGATCCGCTTTGTTGTGAAGGCAGAAAGTTAAAGAGTTCCCAAGTGCTGGTGAGAGGAGCCGATGACGGCACCTGATCCTTCCTTCCACGCTCGTATTGACCCTTTCCTCAATAATGTCTCTGGAGAACAGTTAGTTAACACTGATTGCCTACAAACCTGCTCACAATGACAAGTGTGGTCTTGGCCAACTCTAATTCAACACAATCAATTATTTCCTCACTACACATGGCCAAGACCATCCTTAAACCACACAATCTGCGCTGGAGAAACACTCCATTAGGAAGGTGAGGAAAGGACATTAGGAACCTGCTTTTCTCATTGCTGGGCAAAGAATTGTGGAGAGAGAAAAAAAAAACAGAAACTCTGCCTTTTTTTTAAGCCACATTCTGATCAGATCATCAAAAATATGTTTACTCCTAAACACACTCCAGACAGATTCATACAGTGACTGCGTATTGTACAATAGCACTGTAGGTAGATATTTAGGTATTTACTAGAAAGCCAAGCTCTCTTCTGCATAGCTTGATGTCTCTCCGAGTTTATCTGTCAGTGTGTTTTTGAAAATCAATGGTGATATTTCCAGAGAGGCAGACATGATAATGAAAGAGAGAAGCGAGAAAATGCAACCCTCAGAGGTGATTGCTCATTTCGAGCGGCTTCAAACATCCCTACGTTAGAAGGACACCTTAAATATTCTGACTTTTCACGTCACTCCAGACTAAATCCCTAGCAACCACCATAGCAACACACTTTCACTTGGACGTGAAATGCATTGTAAGTTCCCCCCTGCCACCAGAGATGGAAGAGGGGAGGGAGGGTGAGTGCAAGAGGACAGACAGAGAAAAACAGCATCGAGGATGAGAGGAGAAAGGAGAAAAACAAGTCAGGTAGACTTCATTCATATCAATAGCACAAACAAACCAGTCACGTAAGCAAACGTGCCAATGAGTGAGGCTGAATGAAACACTGAAGAGGCAAAAATCAGCTGTTTTGTTTTTCATCTGCAATGTTTATCTATTTCTGTATGCGACGGATGTAATGTGTCCTGATATATATATATATATAGGCCTGCATTTAATAATTATGCATTTGAATTGTACAAAACAATTCCTTCCAAACAATAAACTTAATGTAATGCATATAAGTCTTAAAGGTCAATTTTTCGAAATTGAGATTTATACATAATCTGAAAGCTGAATAAATAAGCTTTCCATTGATGTATGCAAAGAATGTTTGTTAGGATAGGACAATATTTGGCTGAGATACGACTATTTGAAAATCTGGAATCTGAGGGTGCAAAAAAAAATCTAAATATTGAGAAGATGGCCTTTAAAGTTGTCCGAATGAATTCTTAGCAATGCATATTACTAATCAAAAATTAAGTTTTAATATATTTACAGTAGGAAATTTACAAAATATCTCCATGGAACATGATCTTTACTTAATATCCTAATGATTTTTAGCATAAAAGAAAAATCAATAATTTTGACCCATACAATGTATTTTTGGCTATAGCTACAAATATACCCCAGCGACTTCAGACTGGTTTTGTGCTCCAGGGTCACATTTGTCAGTCATACATGAATGAAACATGGTAAGATTTATGGCACAGTTTATTATTACAGTTTTTCTCGATTGCTAACACACTATAACTGATACATTTGGCCCAATTTTCCAAACCATTCATTCAGTTTTCGAAACAAAGACATTTCTCAAAACATTTAACACATTTTACCTGTTTTCACAAACATTTCTATTTACTCAGTGTTTTCTGCAAAAATCTACACAAAAGTGCCCTCATTTTGCACAGGTTTAACCATGTTCTCATTCAGAAAACACAAACTCACAATATAACTACCGCAAGAATCACAAAATGTATATACTGTCTTTTTACATGCTGCATCGCGCCGCATAAACATAAAACCATGTCTGCATTTGTGATCAGAGAAATGACAAACAACAAGTGCTACTCTACACTGCTCAAAACTCGCGTTTGAATCATCAGTGGCAAATTCTTTAATATAAAAAACGTACTTACAGTCTTTGAGTCAGAACAGCCGGCATTGTAGTCTACTCTCCCATAGCACAAACAAACCAGTCACGTAAGCAAACGTGCCAATGAGTGAGGCTGAATGAAACACTGAAGAGGCAAAAATCAGCTGTTTTGTTTTTCATCTGCAATGTTTATCTATTTCTGTATGCGACGGATGTAATGTGTCCTGATATATATATATATATAGGCCTGCATTTAATAATTATGCATTTGAATTGTACAAAACAATTCCTTCCAAACAATAAACTTAATGTAATGCATATAAGTCTTAAAGGTCAATTTTTCGAAATTGAGATTTATACATAATCTGAAAGCTGAATAAATAAGCTTTCCATTGATGTATGCAAAGAATGTTTGTTAGGATAGGACAATATTTGGCTGAGATACGACTATTTGAAAATCTGGAATCTGAGGGTGCAAAAAAAAATCTAAATATTGAGAAGATGGCCTTTAAAGTTGTCCGAATGAATTCTTAGCAATGCATATTACTAATCAAAAATTAAGTTTTAATATATTTACAGTAGGAAATTTACAAAATATCTCCATGGAACATGATCTTTACTTAATATCCTAATGATTTTTAGCATAAAAGAAAAATCAATAATTTTGACCCATACAATGTATTTTTGGCTATAGCTACAAATATACCCCAGCGACTTCAGACTGGTTTTGTGCTCCAGGGTCACATTTGTCAGTCATACATGAATGAAACATGGTAAGATTTATGGCACAGTTTATTATTACAGTTTTTCTCGATTGCTAACACACTATAACTGATACATTTGGCCCAATTTTCCAAACCATTCATTCAGTTTTCGAAACAAAGACATTTCTCAAAACATTTAACACATTTTACCTGTTTTCACAAACATTTCTATTTACTCAGTGTTTTCTGCAAAAATCTACACAAAAGTGCCCTCATTTTGCACAGGTTTAACCATGTTCTCATTCAGAAAACACAAACTCACAATATAACTACCGCAAGAATCACATATGAACCCAAATGTCTTTTTACATGCTGCATCGCGCCGCATAAACATAAAACCATGTCTGCATTTGTGATCAGAGAAATGACAAACAACAAGTGCTACTCTACACTGCTCAAAACTCGCGTTTGAATCATCAGTGGCAAATTCTTTAATATAAAAAACGTACTTACAGTCTTTGAGTCAGAACAGCCGGCATTGTAGTCTACTCTCCCCAGGATCAGGAAACAGTCCTCCATAAAATGTGCTGGACACATCTGAATATTTGGGTTGAACTGTTCTGGAACAGTGTTGTAAATACAACTTAACCACTGATTTGTAGTCGTGTCCTCTTTTGGAAGACCAAACAAAGTATTTTCACTTTCACAACGAAACACACAGCATCACACACCGCAGGCTTGAGTGAGCGGCAGCCGGTGGGCTTGAGAACGGCGCAGCCGGCAGATTCGACGAAGGAGCGGCCGGCAGGCTTGCGGCAACCACATGTGATGACCCCGGGCTGGACTCCGCTTCGTCCAC